AAAGAAAACATATCATCTGTTCAGTTTATTAACAACTCTGATCTAATAACGGCTTCTTGGGACCATACTATTAAACATTGGGATGGAGAGATAGGTGGAATCAAAACAGAAATTGTTGGTAACAAATCRTTTTTCAATCATGATTACTCAGATTTGAATGGATCTGTAATCACATGTTCATCTGATAGACACATTAGATTATACGATCTAAGATCAAAAGGTATAACATCTTTGTCACTTGTTTTTAAAATTTTAAATATATTGATTAATTAAGTATGTAATTATTTTTAGAGGGGTCATTAGTTAAAGGTACATACTCTTCACACACACAGTGGGTAACTACTGTTAGATGGTCTAAGTCAGAAGAATATCAGTTTGTGTCTGGTGGATATGATAATCAAATGAAATTATGGGATACAAGAAGGTTATAATATAAATCATTAATAATTTTATGTATAGTATTTCATAAAAATAATTATGTTACAGCCCTAAAGTACCATTATTTGAATTGACGGGTCATGAAGAAAAAGTGATGTGCAGCGATTGGTCAAATCAAAAATTAATACTGTCTGGTGGAGCTGATAATACTGTTAGAATATTCAAAAATAAAAATGTAAAAACAAATTAGCACATTAAATTAGAGTTATTATAACTATTTCGCATATTTACTGCTGTGATTTTATGTAAAATTTATTCTTTAAAACAATTGGAACATGTGCCAACCATTAAATAATAATTACAAGCATACACTTTACTTTTAAAGTAATGGAAATATATTTAAAAACTTGCTATACCTTCTATACCTTGTATAGAAGATTTTGAGTATAGTTCACCATCCATTGTGGATGTGTAAATTTAAGTTAAATGATAAATCTTTGCATACAACAAATATACATATTACATAATATGTTACTTTCAATGTTAGAAATTCCAGCAATGACTATTGTATGTCTGACCATTGACACAGTAATTGTTGGTAATCAGTGTATTTTTTCATATTTGACAATTCAATTTAGTCATATTCAAATGTTGGTTAATTTTAAAATGGTAACGAATTTATCACCTATGAAACATTGTTATATTATAACCTTATGCTTATATATATATATTATTTTTTTTGGGAGGGGGTATAGGAGGCAAAATACAAGTGTCTAAACTCTATTACAAATAATATCAGCCTTCGGTGGCCGAGTTATGCACATGGGCGTGGCTGTAAAACACAGCTGGATATACAGATAGTTGACTGGGTTGGGTGACAAACGGGTGTTGCCTGACAAAAACTGATCTTATTTAGAATAATGTATTATAGTTGTTAAGTGTGGAATGATTAGCAAATCTTGACAATATAAAAATATATTTGTGACCAATAATATTTTAGCAGGAAAAAATATGGAATACAAATACTATCAGATATAAATGTCTACAACCTCTACACTTAATTTTAAGTTTCCTGCTTATATCAAAAGAATACAAACAACTAAAGTTGAAAGGCAAAAATATACTAAATATTAAATATTTATTGTTTGCTGAAATTTTCACTGGTGGCTGGGTACATTAATGTATACAAGTGTCTAGCAGTTTGCCTCATGAAAATAATTTTTTAAAGTCCATTAAAAAGTCAACAGGTTTAATGCAATATCATCTCAACACAAAAAACCATCTCTTCAACGCTGCCTTTAATTTGGATGATCTGATGAACATTATTTAAGGACARTTAGTATTAAGTCACTATATTTCAAATTTATTTTAGTTATCATGTTCTTCTTATGTATAAGCCAAAAAAAAACATGTACATAAATTTATACATGTATATTGCTAAATATAGGTAGCACAATATAGGCTAGGAATATCATATAGTAAAAAAAAAATTATAAAATATTATATTGCCTAAATCTGGACCAATATAAATTCTACTTTGCATGTTATATTATATTAAACACATACAATGAAGTCATAAGTGTATAGGTAATAGGTACCTGCATATTATAAAATGTGAAATATAACATATACATTTCATCAAAGGCATGTTTTTTTTCATTGAATTAAAGGAGAGTTAGAGGTTACATCACGACCCCATAAACCATCACCAACAGCTTTGTATACAATAATGCGTTTCTAGAATACGATTTACACCATTTGTTGTTTCATTGTTTGTTATAACTTATAGGTAGGTATTATAACTTTATTTTCCCCGCTTGGTAACCAAGTTTACTATTGATTTAGTTTTGAACTATGAACACTTACTTATGTGCATTCCATTCGTGTACAATTACGAGAATGGACGGTCTACCTTTTATACCGGGATTTCGTTTTGAAGATATAACGGTGAGTATTATTTCTATCGAGAAAAAGTGTAGATTGATTGATTCTGCATAACTGTTATTTTAATAATGTAGGTATTATATATTATATTATACRAGACGCATGAATTGATGATCCCCRCGAATCCGTGAAGATGTACCTAGATGAACTTATTAGTGACTAATTATATTATTGTTATATTTTACATAGAAAAAAAACCACCATTTAAGTTCTCAGTTTCGATGGAAAAACGGATATGCTATTCCCAAAGACAAACCAACGGGCATTGGAAAAGCCCCCTTAGACGTGGATTTCATGCTGTACAGTAAAACATTTGGTACCACAGGGTCAGTTAATAAAGTGTTTATAAATATATTATTTATTATATTATAATATAATCTATTAATATTTTATACTACTGAATACTTAACTACTATTAATTATTATGTACCTATTTATAGTTATACTTTATSTTTATATGTCTATATTATAGTAGTAGGTGTAAGTACACTATAGTCGGGTAGTATACCAGAGGTTCCCAAACTGGGAGTCAAGATAATATTCTTTGTAACTCATGTGYGTATGAGAAAACATTTAAAAAACAATTTCTTGTTATTGGAATTTTCAATAAYATGTTTATAGTTACTTCTAAAAACATAATAATTTATGGAAACACGTTTTAATAATCGAGAAAATCTTTCTGAATAAAATAGGTACGAGAAATAAAAATTGAACGTTGCGGTGACTGGTGTGCTAATGTGTGATAGTTTTCGTACGGTGTTTCCGAATTGCGGACAAAAACCGTAAAAACATGTGAGTTGCGGACGAAATCTAAAAA